CACGGACTCAAAAGCAGACTCATTACACACGGACTCAAAAGCAGACTCATTACACACGGACTCAAAAGCAGACTCATTACACACGGACTCAAAAGCAGACTCATTACACACGGACTCAAAAGCAGACTCATTACACACGGACTCAAAAGCAGACTCATTACACACGGACTCAAAAGCAGACTCATTACACACGGACTCAAAAGCAGACTCATTCCACACGGACTCAAAAGCAGACTCATTACACACGGACTCAAAAGCAGACTCATTACACACGGACTCAAAAGCAGACTCATTACACACGGACTCAAAAGCAGACTCATACACACGGACTCAAAAGCAGACTCATTCACACGGACTCAAAAGCAGACTCATTACACACGGACTCAAAAGCAGACTCATTACACACGGACTCAAAAGCAGACTCATTACACACGGACTCAAAAGCAGACTCATTACACACGGACTCAAAGCAGACTCATAACACACGGACTCGAAAGCAGACTCATTCCACACGGACTCAAAAGCAGACTCATTACACACGGACTCAAAAGCAGACTCATTACACACGGACTCAAAAGCAGACTCATTACACACGGACTCAAAAGCAGACTCATTACACACGGACTCAAAAGCAGACTCATTACACACGGACTCAAAAGCAGACTCATTACACACGGACTCAAAAGCAGACTCATTACACACGGACTCAAAAGCAGACTCATTACACACGGACTCAAAAGCAGACTCATTACACACGGACTCAAAAGCAGACTCATTACACACGGACTCAAAAGCAGACTCATTACACACGGACTCAAAAGCAGACTCATTACACACGGACTCAAAAGCAGACTCATACACACGGACTCAAAAGCAGACTCATTACACACGGACTCAAAAGCAGACTCATTACACACGGACTCAAAAAGCAGACTCATTACACACGGACTCAAAAGCAGACTCATTACACACGGACTCAAAAGCAGACTCATTACACACGGACTCAAAAGCAGACTCATTACACACGGACTCAAAAGCAGACTCATTACACACGGACTCAAAAGCAGACTCATTACACACGGACTCAAAAGCAGACTCATTACACACGGACTCAAAAGCAGACTCATTACACACGGACTCAAAAGCAGACTCAACACACGGACTCAAAAGCAGACTCATTACACACGGACTCAAAAGCAGACTCATTACACGGACTCAAAAGCAGCTCATTACACACGGACTCAAAAGCAGACTCATTACACACGGACTCAAAAGCAGACTCATTACACACGGACTCAAAAGCAGACTCATTCACACGGACTCAAAAGCAACTCATTACACACGGACTCAAAAGCAGACTCATTACACACGGACTCAAAAGCAGACTCATTACACACGGACTCAAAAGCAGACTCATTACACACGGACTCAAAAGCAGACTCATTACACACGGACTCAAAAGCAGACTCATTACACATGGACTCAAAAGCAGACTCATTACACACGGACTCAAAAGCAGACTCATTACACACGGACTCAAAAGCAGACTCATTACACACGGACTCAAAAGCAGACTCATTACACACGGACTCAAAAGCAGACTCATTACACACGGACTCAAAAGCAGACTCATTACACACGGACTCAAAAGCAGACTCATTACACACGGACTCAAAAGCAGACTCATTACACACGGACTCAAAAGCAGACTCATTACACACGGACTCAAAAGCAGACTCATTACACACGGACTAAAGCAGACTCATACACACGGACTCAAAAGCAGACTCATTACACACGGATCAAAAGCAGACTCATTACACACGGACTCAAAAGCAGACTCATTACACACGGACTCAAAAGCAGACTCATTACACACGGACTCAAAAGCAGACTCATTACACACGGACTCAAAAGCAGACTCATTACACACGGACTCAAAAGCAGACTCATTACACACGGACTCAAAAGCAGACTCATTACACACGGACTCGAAAGCAGACTCATTACACGGACTCAAAAGCAGACTCATTACACACGGACTCAAAAGCAGACTCATTACACACGGACTCAAAAGCAGACTCATTACACACGGACTCAAAAGCAGACTCATAACACACGGACTCGAAAGCAGACTCATTCCACACGGACTCAAAAGCAACTCATTACACACGGACTCAAAAGCAGACTCATTACACACGGACTCAAAAGCAGACTCATTACACACGGACTCAAAAGCAGACTCATTACACACGGACTCAAAAGCAGACTCATTACACACGGACTCAAAAGCAGACTCATTACACATGGACTCAAAAGCAGACTCATTACACACGGACTCAAAAGCAGACTCATTACACACGGACTCAAAAGCAGACTCATTACACACGGACTCAAAAGCAGACTCATTACACACGGACTCAAAAGCAGACTCATTACACACGGACTCAAAAGCAGACTCATTACACACGGACTCAAAAGCAGACTCATTACACACGGACTCAAAAGCAGACTCATTACACACGGACTCAAAAGCAGACTCATTACACACGGACTCAAAAGCAGACTCATTACACACGGACTCAAAAGCAGACTCATAACACACGGACTCAAAAGCAGACTCATTACACACGGAATCAAAGCAGACTCATTACACACGGACTCAAAAGCAGACTCATTACACACGGACTCAAAAGCAGACTCATTACACACGGACTCAAAAGCAGACTCATTACACACGGACTCAAAAGCAGACTCATACACGACTCAAGCAGACCATACACCGGACTCAAAAGCAGACTCATAACACACGGACTCGAAAGCAGACTCATTCCACACGGACTCAAAAGCAGACTCATTACACACGGACTCAAAAGCAGGCTCATTACACACGGACTCAAAAGCAGACTCATTACACACGGACTCAAAAGCAGACTCATAACACACGGACTCGAAAGCAGACTCATTCCACACGGACTCAAAAAGCAAACTCATTACACACGGACTCAAAAGCAGACTCATTACACACGGACTCAAAAGCAGACTCATTACACACGGACTCAAAAGCAGACTCATTACACACGGACTCAAAAGCAGACTCATTACACACGGACTCAAAAGCAGACTCATTACACACGGACTCAAAAGCAGACTCATTACACACGGACTCAAAAAGCAGACTCATTACACACGGACTCAAAAGCAGACTCATTACACACGGACTCAAAAGCAGACTCATTACACACGGACTCAAAAGCAGACTCATTACACACGGACTCAAAAGCAGACTCATTACACACGGACTCAAAAGCAGACTCATTACACACGGACTCAAAGCAGACTCATTACACACGGACTCAAAAGCAGACTCATTACACACGGACTCAAAAGCAGACTCATTACACACGGACTCAAAAGCAGACTCATTACACACGGACTCAAAAGCAGACTCATTACACACGGACTCAAAAGCAGACTCATAACACACGGACTCGAAAGCAGACTCATTCCACACGGACTCAAAAGCAGACTCATTACACACGGACTCAAAAGCAGACTCATTACACACGGACTCAAAAGCAGACTCATTACACACGGACTCAAAAGCAGACTCATTACACACGGACTCAAAAGCAGACTCATTACACACGGACTCAAAAGCAGACTCATAACACACGGACTCGAAAGCAGACTCATTCCACACGGACTCAAAAGCAGACTCATTACACACGGACTCAAAAGCAGGCTCATTACACACGGACTCAAAAGCAGACTCATTACACACGGACTCAAAAGCAGACTCATAACACACGGACTCGAAAGCAGACTCATTCCACACGGACTCAAAAGCAAACTCATTACACACGGACTCAAAAGCAGACTCATTACACACGGACTCAAAAGCAGACTCATTACACACGGACTCAAAAGCAGACTCATTACACACGGACTCAAAAGCAGACTCATTACACACGGACTCAAAAGCAGACTCATTACACATGGACTCAAAAGCAGACTCATTACACACGGACTCAAAAGCAGACTCATTACACACGGACTCAAAAGCAGACTCATTACACACGGACTCAAAAGCAGACTCATTACACACGGACTCAAAAGCAGACTCATTACACACGGACTCAAAAGCAGACTCATTACACACGGACTCAAAAGCAGACTCATTACACACGGACTCAAAAGCAGACTCATTACACACGGACTCAAAAGCAGACTCATTACACACGGACTCAAAAGCAGACTCATTACACACGGACTCAAAAGCAGACTCATAACACACGGACTCAAAAGCAGACTCATTACACACGGAATCAAAAGCAGACTCATTACACACGGACTCAAAAGCAGACTCATTACACACGGACTCAAAAGCAGACTCATTACACACGGACTCAAAAGCAGACTCATTACACACGGACTCAAAAGCAGACTCATTACACACGGACTCAAAAGCAGACTCATTACACACGGACTCAAAAGCAGACTCATTACACACGGAGTCAAAAGCAGACTCATTACACACGGACTCAAAAGCAGACTCATTACACACGGACTCAAAAGCAGACTCATAACACACGGACTCAAAAGCAGACTCATTACACACGGAATCAAAAGCAGTACCGTTGATGGCGGTAGGGCTCTGAACACGAAATGAAAAGGCAGCTGTTCGTGTGCCGCGCCCCACCGTTTTTGCAGCGGAGGCTCAGGTTCGGCAGCAGCTGTTGGAGGCCTTGCTGGAAAAAACAAAACACATCGTTTCTTACATTTCTGTGGTGCCATCACTAGCTGTTTCTTTCATATTTGTGTGCCGCGCCCTACCGCATTTGCAGCTGAGGATGTGTTTTGTTTTTGAGATTTCTAAAAAAACAAAACACATCGTTTCTTACCTTTTTGTGGTGCCATCATCAGCTGCTATCTTCATGTTCGTATGCTGTGCCCTGCCCTACCAAAACACATCGTTTCTTACCTTACCGTATCTGCAGTGGGGGCTCAGGTTCGGCAGCAGCTGTTGGAGGCCTTGTCAGTGCTGGTCCATGAAAGGCTCGTTGAGAGGGTCGGGAGTCCCGAACCTATGCTGCAGCCTCGGGGAGCAGGCACCGATGCTCCCAAGACCGCTTCTCGTGCTCGAGTGGTGAGTTTTTTTTCTCACCCTCTCTTTTATATTTTCCATGACTATTTCCCTCATTTTTTATTATTTTCAAGGCGTGTTTTGCAGCCTGGGGCAGCGGGGCCTACGTTGGGAGTTGCGATGTTCCCAAAACCAGTTTTGACACTCGCATTCGGAATCCATTCTCTCTCACTCTTTAAGGGTCAACCCGGTGGCCACATCGTGTGGTGCTTTGTCTCTCGCTCGCTCTTCAACTCGTTGTTTTCCTTGTGCTCTATTTTCTCTCTTCACCCTCTTTCTCATTCTCCTCCCTTATGTACACGAGCCATGGTTGAGACTGCTCTCACTCACTATATGTGAGATGGAGATGGCGTTTAAAGAAAGCAAGCTATTATGTCATTCCGTGTTTGAAAACAGCAAGGTATTACTGTCATGCAGGAGATGGTGTTTAAAAACGCCAAGGTAACATCGTCTTCGGGAGATGGTGTCTGAAGCTACACTTTGGAGATGGTGTCTGAAAACACTTAAGTAGCAGCAACACTTAGGAGATGGTGTCTGAAAACACTAAAGTAGCAGCAACACTTAAGAGATGGTGTATGGAAACACGAAGTTAGCACCGCCACTGACTGAGACCATGGTTTTGAAAATTCTAGGGTAACACCATTCATTCACGAGATGATGCTCAAACACATGATCTCTTGAGTGGCAGTGTTGCCTTAGAATTTAGAAAGACTGTTTCCTCCTGAGTGGCAGTCTTTCCTTCATGCCTTCAAACAAACACCATCACCTGAGTTCCATCCATTTTACCTTGGTGTTTTCAAACACCATCTCCTGGGTAATAGCATCACTTCAATTCACGTAAATATCGTACCGTGCCATGTCGTGATTGGCGTATTACCCTTGGTGTCTTCAAATCAAATATCACCTTCTGAGTAACAGATTGGCTTGAAGTCCTTCACAGACAACTCATCATTAGGCACGCGTGGGCCAGTAGTTTCAACTCGGACCAGAATTGAGTAGTGAGGCAAGCCAGTGGCAAGCGCATGGCCGATCCGATCTACCTTTCCATTCCTCTCAATCATCCATCCATTCCATCTTCCCCATCTCCCGCTCGAGGAGTCTATTTTTGAGGCGCCTCAAAATTCGTTCCCTCTTCCCCATCTCCCGCTCTCACCGCACACGATCATGGAGGCGTCTGGCTACTTTGACTCGGAGCACCTGATGGTGGTGGCAGCCAGGTGCAGCGGCGCTCTCCTCGTCTCCCTCTCTCATCCGCCTTTCTCTCTTCCCCTTTTTCCCTCAGCGCACAAGAGCCATGATGGAGGCGTCTGGCTACTTTGACTCGGAGGAGCACCGCGTGGTCGTTGCAGCGCGCTGCAGCGACGCTCTCCGCTTCCAGTTACCAGCCGCCTGGGTGTTATCTGGCGGTGGGGATAATGCTGCTGGCGGCGCTGGTGGTGGTGGTGCTGGCGGGATGGCTGTTGATGGGAGCGCAGGAGCGGATGGGGGTATGACAGCAGCTGCTGCAGCTGCAGCGGCAAAGTTCAAGGTAAGCAGTTGGATGCAGGCTGGTGCAGTGACGCACTCCACTTTCAGTTACCAGCTGCATGGTTACCAGCTGCCACCACATGATAGTGGTGGCAGTGCTGGCGGTGGCAGTGGTGTGGACCGGAGCGCAGGAACGGATGGGGGGGTTATGTGACAGCAGCAGCAGCAGCCAAGTTCAAGGTAAGCAGTCGTAAAGCACAGGGGAGGAGCTGGAGGAGGGCAGGAGGAGCAGGAGGAGCAGGAGGCAGGGGAGCAGGAGGAGGGAGGGAGAGCTGGAGGAGCAGGAGGAGCAGGAGGAGTTGGAGGAGCAGGAGAGCAGGAGGAGCTGGGGAGCTGGAGGCAGGGAGGGAGCAGGAGGAGCAGAGGAGCAGGAGGAGCAGGAGGAGCAGGAGGAGCAGGAGGAGCAGGAGGAGCAGGAGGGCAGGAGGAGCGGGGAGCAGGAGGAGCAGGAGGGGGGAGGAGCAGGAGGAGCAGGAGGAGGGGGAGGGAGGGGGAGGAGGGGAGCAGGAGGAGCAGGAGGAGCAGAGGAGCAGGAGGAGCAGGAGGAGCAGGAGGAGCAGGAGGAGCAGGAGGAGCAGGAGGAGCAGAGGAGCAGGAGGAGCAGGAGGAGCAGGAGGAGCAGGAGGAGCAGGAGGAGAGCAGGAGGAGCAGGAGGAGCAGTAGAGCAGGGGCAGGAGTAGGAGGAGCAGGAGGAGCAGGAGGAGCAGGAGGAGCAGGAGGAGCAGGAGAAGGAGCACAGGGGGAGGGGAGGACCCCCACGACTTGCATCCCCAGAGTTATCATGTTTTACCCCCTTCTGTTTACCCCCTTCTGTTTACCCCCTTCTGTTTACCCCCTTCTGTTTACCCCCTTCTGTTTACCCCCTTCTGTTTACCCCCTTCTGTTTACCCCCTTCTGTTTACCCCCTTCTGTTTACCCCCTTCTGTTTACCCCCTTCTGTTTACCCCCTTCTGTTTACCCCCTTCTGTTTACCCCCTTCTGTTTACCCCCTTCTGTTTACCCCCTTCTGTTTACCCCCTTCTGTTTACCCCCTTCTGTTTACCCCTTCTGTTTAACCCCCTGCTTTATCAGTCAACCTTCTGCTCTCCCTCCTCTGTCGACCCTTCTGCCCCATTACTCACAGCGGAAGCCCCATTACCCGGGTGTTGGACGACAAGGAGGAGGGGAGCTCGAGGAAGGAAACGAGCAAGGGGTGCCAAGGAGTACAAAGCGGTCAGCACTGGTTCCACTTCACAGTGTTTAACCTTGTTCACAATGCTTGCAATGTCTTCGCCCCTGTGTTTCCCCCACAGAGGAAACGAGTTGTCCTGGATGACGAAGAGGAGGAGGGCGGAGGGGCACCCAGTGCAAAGCGCGCAGCAACGGGAGCTGCAGGGGGGGCGGGTGGAGCGGAGAAGCAGGCCGGGGGGAACACTGAAGACTCTGGCGTGCTGTGGCGGGTGAATTACGAGGAGTTCCTGAGGCGAACGAGACACCAGGTGGGATTCAAACCATGCGTGAGGAGTCTATTCCAATCAAAACTAGTTCCTGAGGCGAACGAGACACCAGGTGGGATTCAAACCAGGGTGGGTTGATCGCATGCTGTGCGAGTGATGTGACAGCCAGAGAAAAGCATGCAGCGGTGGAGGATTCTGGCGTGCTGTGCTGTGCTGTGGCGGGTGAAGTATGAGAAATTCCAAAGGCGAACGAGACATGTCTCCTTGGGTGAAGTACAGTCGAGGGCACAAGGTTTGCTGCGGTTCGAATCCGTCAAATTCTCGGCAAACTGGGTGGATTGGCAGCAGCATGCTGCACGAGGGTGAGGGGGCCTGCCACTCATTGCACACCCATTTGAACAGCGTTTTCTCCCTTCCCAGCTCCTCCACACCCCTCTCAACCACACTCCTTTCCTTCCCACCCGTCCAGGCCATAGTTGACTTTGTGCGTGAAATCATTGACCCACGCTTTTCATTTCTGTATTTCCTCCTTCCTCACAGTTTCGCGTTCTCCTCTGAAATCCTTCCATCATCCTTCCATCCATCTCCATCCATCCATCCATCCATCCATCCATCCCATCCATCCATCCATCCATCCATCCATCCATCCATCCCATCATCTCCATCCATCCATCCATCCATCCATCCATCCATCCATCCATCCATCCATCCACCCCATCCATCCATCCATCCACATCAATCTCCATCCACTCATCCATCCTCCTCCATCCATCCCCCTCCTCCCCTTCTTCCTTAACGGCCAGACCATAGTGGACTTTGTGCGCGAAAGCATCGACCCAGGTGCCTCCATCATCACCGCTGCCATGCTCCATGCCGGAAAGAACCAAGAAACTTCCTCCGACACCCATACTCAGGTGCGCATCTCATTCGCTTTCTCGTTCGTTGCTACGGATCATAAGCCCTCTTTTCTCATTCTCTTCACACGTTCCAATTGTCGACTTAATGCTTGCTCCCAAGGCCCTCAATTTCAAGCATGAGGAGCCTCAAAAACAGACTCCTCACCGAAGGTCCTCAATCTCAAGCTCCTCATGTGAATACCAACTAAAGTCTCTGTTCCTCAAATCCAAAAAAACTATACTTTCCTCTTCCCCGCTCCCCTTACGCCCAGAGTGTCATCTCCTCTTCTCCGTTCTCTGCTCCGCTCCCTCCCCTCCCAGCAACCCCTTTCCTCGACCCATAGCCTACACCACAGTCAGTGCCAGTGCCACCATAGACAGCTGAACTATGAGTCTATGACCCTCAATCGAATCGAATCGAATCGAATCGAATCGAATCGGATCCCTCTCTGTCCCTTCCTCCGCTACTCGTTTTCCTCCTCTGCTACCCCTCTCCCTCCCTCGCCTCCCAGCATCCCGCTCCCTCGATTCGTTAGCCTACACAGTCAGTACCAGTGCCACCATAGACAGCTGAACTGTGACCCTCCATCGAATCCGAACCCTCCCTCTTCCTCTGTTACTCCTTCTACTCTTCTGCCCACCGCTCCCTTCCTTCCCTCCCCTCCTAATGACTCTCCCTCGACTGGATAGCCTACGCAGTGAGTGCCAGTGCCACCATAGATGACTGAACTATGACCCTCCATCGGTTGAACTATTTTTCTGTGTCCCTCTGTCTTCCTCTATTACCCCCATCCCCTCCCTCCCCTCCCAGCGTCCCTCTCGCGCGACTCGATAGTCAAAGCTGTTCGTGCCACTATAGACAGTCGCACCATGGCTCTCGACTAAATCAGAACCCTCTCTGTCCCTCCCTCCGTTACGTGTTGTCCTCTGCTGCTCCCTCCCCTCCCTCACTCCCTCGCTTCCCAGCATCCCTCTCACTCGACTCCATAGTCAACGCAGTGCGCGGCACTATAGACGGTCGTACCATGGCTCTCGATCGAATCAGAGCTGCCCTTCAGCTGCTCGTGGCGCATCCCGCTGCCGTTGCTGCCCGGGCCTCTGATGCTCACTACACCATCCGTAAGTTGCATGTGACGCACTACACTACCGTATACATGCGCTACGCAGTAAGCAAGTGTGTGGTTCGCTCGCGCCACCATAGGCTGCCGCACTTTTGCTCTTGACCGAATCAGAGCGGCCCTCCAGGCTCCAACTGCTTGCGGCTCATCCCTCTGCTGTTTTTGAGGCGCCTCAAAAATCGTCTTTTGAGGCACCTCAAAAAGCTGTTGCTCGAATCAGAGCAGCCCTTCGCTTGCTGCGCACTCCTCCGATGCACACTACGCCATTTGTGAGTCAGTTACACAGTACACAGTACGCTAGCGTTGTGTTGTGCTAGCTTGGAGTTGACTCAAAAGCTCCTCACTAAACTGTTTTTGTGTGCCTGTGCCTGTGCTTGCGTTGGTCCATATGCCCATGCGTGTATGTATGCATTGCCATGTGTGTATGTGTATGTATGCGTGTGCACACATGCGCATATATGCATGTGTGTGGGAATGCATGACTTGTGAACGGTCACTTTTACTGTTTGCCTGTCAGAATCTGCCAGGATCATTGAGCTAGTGAAGCTCAGAGAGGTGCGTTGACCAGGGCTGATTTGAGTTGACTGGGGTTGAGGGGCATTGACTGGGGATGACTTGAGTTGACTGGGGTTGAGGGGCATTGACTGGGGTTGATTTGAGTTGACTGGGGTTGAGGGGAGCTGACTGGGGTTGACTTGAGTTGATTGCAAGGATAATCGAGCTATTGGAGTTCGGAGAAGTGCGTTGACTGGGCTGACTCGAGTTGACTGATAGAATAAGCTTCATTGACTGGTGTTGACTGCTGGAATGAGGGGCGTTGAGGCGTTGGCAAATGTTATTGTGGCGATATCTTCTCATGATCTTGTAGGATGGTTTCGGACATTGATCGAGCTTGATTGTAGTTGGTCGGTCATTTTCCTTTCTCGATGTCTCGTGTGGTTGTAGTACTGTCACCAGTATCACCACTTCTGGTCTCTTTCCTTGTCCAACTCTTGGTGCATAACCCGAAACCCAAACCCCAGAACCACGAAGCAGCCCTTTTTCCCTGTTTGTCGCCATTCCCACCCGCTGCACCTCTCAGGTTGAAGCCATTGTTTCTCAGCGCTTTGGCCCGTCTGCCTGCCGGCTGTTCCGCCTGCTGCTGTCGAAGCACTGCCTGGAGCAGAAGCAGGTGAAGGAGAGCGGAGGGGGGGGGGAAAGAGGAGAGATAAGGGGGGGAGAGAGTAATGGAGAGGGGGCGGGGGTGGAGAGAAGAGGAGAGATAAGGGGGGGAGAGAGTAATGGAGAGGGTAGTGCGGAATGGAGACTGTTCCGCCTGCTGCTGTCGAAGCACTGCCTGGAGCAGAAGCAGGTGAAGGAGAGGGGGGGGGGGAGAAGCGGAGATGAGGGGGGGGGAGTGTAATGGAGAGGGTAGTGCGGATTGGAGACTGTTTCGCCTGCTGCTATCGAAACACTGCCTGGAGCAGAAGGAGAGGGGGGGGGGGGAGATGAGATAGTAGGGAGGGGTGGGAGTGCAGGGAGGGCATTTGAGTTGGGGGGGTGGGGTGAGAGAGAGTAAAGGAGAGTGCTGAGTGTAGTGTGGAATGGAGACTGTTCCGACTTCAGAGCGGAAGGGATGGAGCACGTTTTTGCCACTTGGTTTGCAAACTTTGCAGTACAAACTTTGTACCCTCTGTTTCTCGCGAATGTTTTGCATGCCCCATTTGCCGTGACTGCTGCTGTACAAACACTGTCTGGAGCAGAAGCAGCTGGGGAGCGGAGAGAGTGGCGGAGGAGAGGGGAGGAGATGCAGTAAGCTTCTGCCTCTTGGCTTGCTTCTACAATGCTGGCACCTCTCGCATGTGTGCATGCGCCTCTGTCTCTCCCCATGCCACCAGGCGGCAGAGCTCTCCATGATATCCCTTGCGGACTTGCGGCAGCTACCAGTCCCCCCTACCCCCCCCCAGTCCCTGCATACACGTTTCTTCCACCTCTGGCTCTCCCCATGCCACCAGGCGGCGGAGCTCTCCATGATATCCCTTGCGGACGCGCGGCAGCTGCTCTACCGGATGATGCTGGATGACTTCGTCCAGCTGCAGGTAGGACGGAGTTGCACGGGTTGTGAAGGTGAGTATGAATGATCGCATGATCGAGTGGTCCACATGATGCTGGATGCCTTTGTGCTGCTGCAGGTGCGGTATACTTCTAGAAAAGCTATAGAGTTACACCTATTGGTGAACGCACAGCACGGGTTGTGAAGGTGAATATGAATGGACGGCCTGTGCTGTGCGTTCACCTGTTTGGCAGCTGCTCTACCGGATGATGCTGGAGGTGCGGTAGAGTAGAGTAGAGGTGCACAGGTTGTAAGGGTGAACATGCAGCTGCTCCGTACCATGTGGCAAGGTGAGTACGATGGAGTTGGCCAGGTGCTCTACCTTTGAGTCGACTCAAAAGCAAAAAAGGAGAACATGCAGCTGCTCCGTACCATGCGGCGAGGCAAGGTGAGTACGACAAAGTTGGTCAGCTGCTCTGCCGCATGATGCTGGATGGCTTAGTGCAGCTGCGGTAGAGCATCCTCACTACCGCCGCATGATGCTGGATGGCTTAGTGCAGCTGCGGTAGAGCATCCTCACTACCGCCGCATGATGCTGGATGGCTTAGTGCAGCTGCGGTAGAGCATCCTCACTACCGCCGCATGATGCTGGATGGCTTAGTGCAGCTGCAGTAGAGCATCCTCACTACCGCCGCATGATGCTGGATTTGGATGACTTTGTGCAGCTGCAGGTGCGGTAGAGGTGCACATACGATGTAGGTTGCACGGCAGATATGGCTGAGGGCACTTATTATGATGGTGCACACGTGTGGCAGCTGCTCTACTGCATGATGCTGGACGACTTTGTGCAGGTGCAGGTGTGGGAATGTAGCAGATATGCTAGGATGGTGCGTATTCGACATGGATGAATGGTACGATAAGGCGCCAGGTGCTCTACCGCATGATGCTGGATGGCTTAGTGCAGCTGCAGGTGCGGGAAAGGCATCCATGAATGGCAGTAGAATGGGAGCTAGGACATGCATGATACGAGAAGGTGCCAGATGCTCTACCGCATGATGCTTGACGATATCGTGCAGCTGGAGCACAATGAACAGGCATGTAGCAGGTCATATGCATGCAGGAGGTCATATGCATGTAGCAGGTCATATGCATGTAGCAGGTCATATGCATGTAGCAGTCATATGCATGTAGCAGGTCATATGCATGTAGCAGGTCACGTGCAGTTATGAACCACAGCCCCCAAAGGACCTTCTACCTCTGGCGGATCCACTTAGGCATTGCCCTTGTGCCCATAATGCCAACCCCTCTTGTTCCTTACTCCCTGCCAACCCCCCTCTTTCTTCCACAGGAAGTCCCCAAGACAGCGGACCACGCCCCCAACGGACCTTCTACCTCTGGCGCATCCACATAGGCACAGTCCTTCCCAGAGTGGCTCAACCACATGTGCCATGCTGCATGCAACCTGAGGCTGAGACTGGCACATGAAATGCAGCAGGAGCAGGAGGTGAGAGGGAGGCAGTAAGGGGTGGGAGTAAGGCCGTTCAACACGTGTGTGTGCCATGCTTCATGCAACCTGCGGCCGAGACTGGCCCATGAGATGCAGCAGGAGCAGGAGGTGAGATAGATGGGGAGGTGTCAACTAGGCAGGAATTGCCCCCGAGTGCTCAACCACATGTGCCATGCGGCGGCATGCAACCTGCGACCAGACTAGTGCATGCATGATATGCAGCAGAAACAGGAGGTGAGAGGGACAGGCAGCAGTGGGCACATTGCCACTGTCCTTCCCCGACCCGACTGCTCAACCACATGTGCCATGCTGCATGCACCCTGAGTCTGCACTTGGCGCATGAGATGCAGCAGGAGCAGGAGGTGAGATAGGGGCCAGTAAGGGGGGAGTAGGCCCGTTGAATATGTGTGATCGCTTGTAGCCACTGTCCTTCCCTGTGTGCTCAGCCACGTGTGCCATGCTGCATGCAACCTTCGACTGAGACTAGCATAGTACATGAGATGCAGCAGGAGCAGGAGGTGAGAGAGGGGCAGTAAGGAGGGGAGTAGCCCTCTTGAATATATGTGATCGCTCTTGTGTCAACCACACATGCCCACGGTCCTTTCCCGGGTGCTCAACCACATGTGGCACGCGGGCATGCAATGCAACTCAGACTAGCGCACGAGATGCAGCAGAAACAGGAGGTGAGAGAGGGGGGAAGTTGTTAACTGGAGCAGGTAATTTTCGCACATGCTCAGCCACATGTACCGCTTCGCTACCTGCAACCTGCGACTGACACTGGCCCATGAGATGCAGCTAGATCAGGAGATGAGGTGCAGGACAATGGAGGGTGGCAAACATGGCGTCTCACCAACATGAGCCATGCTGCACTGCACGCATGCAGTGCGGTTGCTTTTGAGTCGACTCAAAAGCACGGCACGCATGCAGTGCGGTCTGCGCATGACAAGAAGGGGGTGGAGCGAGAGTGATTGACGGTCCTTCCTCTAGTGGTTTCACGCAACCACATGAGGCATGCTGCGGCACTCGTGATTGCAGCGGGCCCATGAAATGCATCGGGAGCAGGCGGTAAGGACTGCACAAGTGATTTCGGGTTTAGACCCAAACAATGTGCCGCTAACAATGTGGCTATAACCCGTGTGACTCTACCAGGTGCTGTCTCTCCTGGAGCAGATAGAGCAGGCGCATGCAGCGGGCAGCACGGGCGCTACACCCGCCAGCGATGCCGACACTGAAGGCAGTCATGTGCTTATATGACCGTGTGCTGATACTGAAGGCAGACCTTGTGCTTATATGATCTGTCCTGTGTGATAGTGCTAGTTCTTCAGTTTGTAAGTTAAGTTTGTTTCCCCATGTGCTTGTACCCCGTGTGACTCTACCAGGTGCTGTCTCTCCTAGAGCAAATAGAGCAGGCGCATGCAGCAGGCGGCACAGGCGGTGGTGGTGCAGCGGGTGAAGGCAGAGCAGCGCCGGAGAAGGCGGTCAGCTTGACCTCGGGGCAGAGGAAGCAGCTGGAGAGGATAAGGCGCGTGGCGGCAGTGCTGGAGACCTCGTTGCTGCGGCTTGACGATACAATTACTCTCTTCTCGGCGTTTTAGACATGGTTGAGAGAGCAGAGGTGGTAGGCAGAGGGAGCAGAGCGAACAGGGAAGCTTAGGAGCAGAGGAGCAGGGCCGCAGTGGGAGCAGAGGAAGGAAAGGCTTCTGCCACAGCCCAGGAATGTGAGTCAATTTAGTTGTGCTCTCAGCCTCCTGTGACAGATTTTGCGCGAAGCAAGCTTTGCAGTTCTCGAGGAATCGCTGCGTTAAAACGTTTGGTATGATAGAATAAATACCTCAAGGGATGTTGAGGGGGAGATGCAGCATGAAGGCTGCGGTTTTCATTGGTGGGTTCTATCAGAAATTGAAGAAGTGAATAATATTAGAGAGAGGTGTCAAACATGTGTATTTGTCATGTTTGTATAGACTGTATAGAGTCACCTCTTAGAGGATACAAAACTTAGATATATTTGTGTGTACTCTCACTTTACCATTATTCAATTATTCTGTGTCAACTTATACATATTATCTATGTAGAAGTTATAGGGTAGACTGAGGTATGCTTCTAGTGAGTACAACCAACTAGTATTTGTTCTAGGTTTCCAACTCTAGTAATCATTCGTTTCTACGTTAACATGGTATCACGCTTAGGTTAGGATCCCCCCGCCTACCGCTTCCGCCGTCGCGCCCCCCTGGGCCCCGTCGCGCTCGTTAGGCCCCGTCGCGCCCCCCCTGGGCCCCGTCGTGCCCGCTGGGCCCCGTCGCGCCTCCTAGGCCCCGTCGCGCTCCCCCTGGGCCCCGTCGCGCCCACTGGGTCCCGTCGCGACCCTAGGCCCTAACGCGCCCCGCTGGGCCCGTTGCGCCTCCTAGGCCCCGTCGCGCCCCCCATGGGCCCCGTCGAGCCCGCTGAGCCCCGTCGTGCCTCCTAGGCATCGTCGCGCCTCCTAAGCCCCGTCGCGTCCCCCCTCTCTGGGCCCCGTCGCGCCCGTTCGGCCCCGTCGCGCCCTCCTAGGCCCCGTCGCGCCCGCTGGCCCCTTCGCGCTTCCTAGGCCCCGTCGCGCCTGCTAGGCCCCGTCGCGCCCCCCCTGGGCCCCGTCGCGCCCGTTAGGCCCCGTCGCGGCCCCCCTGGGCCCCGTCGTGCCCCTGGTCCCCGTCGCGCCTCCGCGGCCCCGTCGCGCCCCCCCTGGGCCCCGTCGTGCCCGCTGGGCCCCGTCGCGCCCCTTAGGCCCCGTCGCGCCCGCTGGCCCCTGTCGCGCCTGCTGTTAGCGCTCGCCCGCCTGGCCTCCTCCTAGCGCCGCCCGGCCTCTCCTCAGCGCTGCCCGGCCCCTCCTCGTGCCCGACCGGCCCCAGCAGCACCAGCCTGGCCCCTCCCAGCACCAGCCCGGCCCTAGAGCACCTGCCCGCTCCCCTGCTCGGCCTGCCGTGTCCTCTCGGGCCCTGTGTCTTCTGCTTGCCTAGCTGCTGCCCTACTGGAGAGTGCTGCCGCCGTGTCCCCGCGCCGCTGTGCTCCTGTGCCGCTGAGGAGCTGTGCTGCTGTGCCGCTGTGTCGCTGAGGAGCTGTGCCGCTGACCCTGCACGATGGCTGACTTTGTGCTCCGCCTGGACGCTGAGGGCCACGCGGTTGACTTCGCCGCCTGGCTCTCCGATCTTCGCCGCCAGCTTACAGGTCAGCGCCAGGATGGCCACTCTCTGGTTGTCCATGCTGATGGCTTGCTCCCCCGTCCCCTGCACCTACTCCCCTCCCTGCTGACCCCTCCTCTGATGACCGTGAGGCTTTCCCTACTGCTGCGCTAGCCTGTGCGGTCTGGGACTCACGCGATGCAGTAGCTCAGGTTGCTATTAGTCACGCCCTCCCTGTGTCTGAGCGCTCGCGTTTTGCTACTGTTGAAACGGCCCAAAACTTATTTAGACGCCGTTATTGCTCGCTATTCCACCCCTGCCTCCGCTTCTGCTGGCCGCTTGCTCTTTCCGATGCTGTTCCCAGACCTGGCTGCCTTCCCTACTGTCGCAGATTTTGCCACTCATTTGCGTGCCCTAGAGACTCGCTATCGCACTGCCAGCACTGCTGCCCCAGCTCACTGCGCTCCCCCCTCCTTTCTGCATGACGCTCTATTTTATCGCTATGCGCCTGCCAGACCGCCTCGCTAGTGCTCGCGACCACTTTCTTAGCCAGCACCCGGGTGACCTCACCCTGACCGCCTTTGTCGACACCCTCACTGAGATCGAGACTCGCCAGCGCACTATCGCTCAGTCGAGCGGTGCGCCGGCAGTCTCTATCTTTCACGGTTGTGCCCCATCCCCGTGCACGTTCACTGACGTTTCGGCTGCGGTCGCCACGGCGACCCCTCTTACCGAGACGGCTGCTGCTGTCCACCCGCAGCAGCGCTCGCGTCGCGGTGGCCGTGGCCGCCAGGGAGGTAGGGGTGGTGACGCAGGTGGTAGTGGTCGTGGGTGGTGGTGACAGTAGTCCGCCTGAGGGGACTACCACCGGTGGGCAGGAGCAGCAGTCCCAGCAGCAGCAGGACCAGCCCCAGCCGCAGCCGCCGTCCCAGCAGCACCCGCCGCAGCCGTGGGCTCGTCTCCCGCCTGGTTGGCCCGGCACCTCCGGAGGCGGTGGCCGTGGTGGCGGCCCGCGCAGCTTGGCGTCTACCAGCGGCTCCAGTGCTGTGACCTGCCAGTACCAGCTTCAGACCGGGCCTCTCCGCGGCACTCTGTGCCGCCGCCCGCACCCGACCGCCCACTGTTTCCGCCGCCTCGACGATCTTTTTCGTCGTCGCTTTGGCCCGGCCCCGGACCTCCCTGACTGGCACAGCCTGCTCCGCCAGGGCGTGCCGATCTTTGAGTTAGACATGGATCAGATAGGTGCTGCTTTGCATGCTTTGTATGCTGACGCTTCTAGTGTTGATGGATCTTACTACCATGTGTACTCTAGTTTAGGTGTTTCACCCTTGTGTAGCTTAGCTTCCCCTGCTGCGACAGGCGTAGGACTGCCTAGGTTGCCTAGTCTAGTCGCTGCACCGGCTCCGTCCGCGGCCTCCGCCACTGCGTCGCTGTCCTTCACTCTCGACTCTGGTGCTTCTGCCTGCTTCTTCCGCGACCGTTCCACGCTCACGCCGCTTGCTGCACCTGCTGTTGTCTCTCTCGCTGACCCCTCTGCGGGTCCGGTCGTCGCGCGCAGTTCTACGTCCCTTCCCTGTCCGGCAGTTCCCTCGGGCTCCCTTACTGGCCTCCACGTTCCCTCGTTCTCCAGGAACCTGGTTGGTGTCGGCTGTCTCCAGGACCTCGGCGTCACCACCACGTTCCCCGGGCACGAGCGGTTCGCTGTCTGTTCTGAGGCTGTCTCAGGTTCCCCCCTTGCGACGTTCCCCCGGGACCCGGTGTCCGGTCTGTTTACCCTACACACCGCTTCCCCCCCGGTTGGTGCGTCCTCCCAGGTCGCTGCAGCTTGCTCGTGTCGGTCCCTCACTCACCCGTCCCTTCTCTGGCACCACCGCTTAGGTCACCCTGCTCTCCCGCGTCTGCGTCACATGTCCCAGCACGGTCTTGTCTTAGGTCTCCCCGCGTCGCTCCCTGCCCTTCCTCCCTCGACTGCGCCACCGTGCACGCCTTGCGTCGAGGGTCGGCTCCGCCGTGCTCCTCACTCCTCCTCGCTGCGTCCTGCTACTGCCCCCCTTCAGACCCTGCACTTGGACGTTTGGGGCCCTGCCCCCGTCCCCGGACCGCGCGGTGAGCGCTACTTCCTTGTGCTCGTTGACGACTACACGCGCTACACCACGGTGTTTCCCCTGGAGCGGAAGGCCGACGTGCCCGACGTTCTTCTCTCGTGGGTTGTAGCTGCGCGTCTCCACCGCGGTCTCCCCGTGTTGTGTCTCCACTCCGACCGTGGCGGCGAGTTCGCCTCTGGTCGGGCTTGGACAGTTCTGTCGTGCGGAGGGCATCACCCAGTCGTACACCTTGCCGGACTCGCCACAGCAGAATGGGGTTGCTGAGCGCCGCATCGGCTTGGTCATGGAGGTCGCCCGTACCTCCATGATCCATGCCGATGCCCCCCATTTTCTGTGGCCGTTCGCTGTTCGCTACGCGGCTCACCAGCTTAACCTGTGGCCACGCTCCCAGCGGCCGCAGGTTTCGCCGACCCTCCTTTGGACCGGGTCCCCCGGTGACGCGTCTGCGTTCCACGTCTGGGGCTGCCTTGCTCACGTTCGTGCCTCTGGCACGGACAAGCTCACTGCCCGCACTGTCCCCTGTGTCTTCCTCGGTTTCCCCCTGGACTCGTCTGACTGGCTTTTCTACCACCCGCCGTCTCACCGCTTCCTCCACTCTCGTGACGTCACCTTTGACGAGTCCGTCTCCTTCTACCGCCGCTTCCCTCACCGAGGTCTCCCAGTTGCCCCCCCCCTTTTCCTTGCTCCCTCTCCCCCGGTAGCCCCTGCCCCTCTCCCGCCTCGTCCTGCCCCGTCTGGTGTCTCCCACGTCACTCCCCTCCCGTCGGTTGTCCCCGTTGAGGAGTCTGCTGACTCTGGTGGTACCCCCGGTCCGTCCTTGCCGCGTCCCCCTTCCCCAGTGCCTCCGCCCCCACTGTCGCAGTCGCCGACCCCGCTGCCGCCGCCGTCGCCGTCGCCGCCGCAGCCGTCGCCGCTGTCGCCGCCACTGCCGCCGCTGCTCTCGGCCCCTGGGGGTGCTGGTGTGGAGGAGGGTGTTCGTCCTGCGGCTTCTGGGGGTGCCGCTGGTGTTGGAGGGGGTTCTCGCTCTTGGGGTGTTGGTTCTGGGGGTGCTGCTGTTGAGTGTTCTGCCGACGGTCGTTCTGCCTCTGCTGGTCCGAGAGTTCCGGCCCAGCCGTCGTCGCCGCCACAGCAGCCGTCGCCGCCGGTTTCCGCTCTCCGCCTGCTCGGCCTTCCCTCCCCGGACCGCGCGCCGGTGTCTCCCCCACCGCCTCCTGACCTCCCTGTCTACGGTCCTGTGTTCCCGCCGCCAGACTCGTCTCCGGCCCGTCTTCCTCCTCGTTCCCCTCCTGTGTCTCCTCCGCTGTCCCCTGACCCTACCCCTCCGTCTCACGTTTGGGCTCGCCGTCCCTCCCGTGCCCGTCCCGTCTCTCCTGTCCTGCCCACCCACCCTATGTTGCTCCGTTCCCACTCGTCTCGTCCTCCCCTCCTCCCGTCCCCTCCTCCCTCGTCCCTTGTTGTTGCACCTCCTCCGTTCTCTGACTACCTCCGTGCTGCTCGTCCCCTTGTCCCTCGGGTCCTTGCCTCTCTTGTTACCGACCCTGCTGTTCCTGTCTCGCGCCTTGACGCGCTTGTCGCTGCTGTCGCTGACTTCGCTTCTACCCGCCGCCTTGACTACGCTACCGCTCTGGTCTCTGACCCTGCCCGTCCTCTGTCCGTCGGGGGTGCTCCTGCCCTTGGCAGTGACGTCCTAGAGGACAGGCAGTACGAGCTGGCTTTCCTTTCCGAGGCTGCTCCCCATCTCTGCTCCATGCTGTTAGTCCCTGAGGGTGACCCAG